CGAGGACAGAAGAAGCTGTTGGGTCCCCTGGAACTGGAGTTATGGACAGTTGTTAGCTGCCGTGTGGGTGCTGGGTTTCAAACCCAGGTCTTCTGCAAGAACAGTCAGTGTTCTTAACAGCTGAGCCATCTCTCCAGCCCCAGGACATTTTTCTAACGTTCTTGTTTGCCTGTTTATATGTGTGTATGTACGTGGTTTGTGTGTGAATTCATGTGGAGGCCAGGGGTCAGCCTTGGGCGTTTGTTCCTCAGGAACGGTTCATCTTCTTTGTTGAGACTGGGTCTCTCCCTGAGACCTGAGGCTCTCAGAGTAGGCTAGGCTGGCTGGCCAGCAAGCCCCAGGAATCTGCCTATCTGTGCCTTCCCAGCACTAGGCCGACAAGCAGCCACCTTTACACCTGACTTTTTACTAAGGGAGTCCAAGACTAAATTCAGGCCCTCAGGCTTCCACAGCAAGTACTTTCCTGGCTGAGTCTCTTCCCCAGTCCCTGTACATTTTTAGATCATCCTGGGAGAGCCCATAGGCTCTTGGGAACAGCCATCATGAAATACTTTGTCCACATTGAGTTTTTCCTCCAGTGGGGCCACAGGAAGTTGAAGTTAGCAGTAGGTATGCATGATGCTGGAAGGGTGCCTGAGGGGACCTCTGACACACACATGGGAGTGTCAAGATGGCTTTGGGATGAAGGCTACAGAGGTTTTAACTAGTAGACATGGGATAGGTGAGTGTTGCAGGCAGAGTAAACAAATGCTCCAGACGTGGGGTGAGAGAGAGAGAGAGAGCCAGAGGGGCTCAAGGGGCCATAGTTGTTGAGTGTGACTGAACAGCAAGGTGTGAGGAAGGGATCACAGAAAGAGGAGTTGGGCACTGGTCAGATCAGCCAAAGTGAGGCGTTTGTTGAGGGGTCAGCTGGGAAGTGACTGCTCTGCAGCCTCTGGCCAGGTCGCCGGGCCCGGGAATGGGGATGGGATGTGCTTGGTGGCCACAACCTGCTGGGAGCCTGGGAGCTAGCAGAGGCTGGGGGTGAGCTGGCCCCACTCCTCCCACAGAATGTCATCAACAACCTGGAGTACTCGAACAAGAAGAGGGTGCAGCAGTTGAGTTCTGAGCTTCAAGAGTGGGAAGAAATGGAGGAAAGCAAGATGAACAGTAAGAAGCTAGGGCGCACCTCTGGGCGCTCATCCCTGACCTGGGGAGGGCAGCTCACCTTGGACCTGCCTTCACAAACCGCCGGGCCTGGCCCTCCTGAGGGGACGGTGGCGTTGCTGAGGTGCAGAACTAACAGCTCACTTGCAGAGCACTTGTGCTTTCCAGGCATGTGTCTGCGTACTAATGGCTTCACCCTCTCTGTAATCTCCTGGGGGCAGGGACTTTGCTCTCATTTTACAGATGAAGAAGCTGAACAGCTAAGAGCCAGAACTATAGCACTTGGGAGGCAGAGGCAGGCGGATCTCTGTGAATTTGAGGCCAGCCTGGACTACGTAGCGAGTTCAGGCCAGCTGGGGCTACAGGGAGACCCTGTCTCAAAAAGACCAAAAAAAAAAAAAATTCCGAATTTATGCATTTCCTGGCTATTCTATCAAGTCAGTGGCTGGAACCTAGGTCTCCTTTCTGGCATTCATTACTCTGGATTTGAGCAGGCTAAATGCTGAGGTTGTGTGTAAGGGGGCAGGTCGTACTAAGCAGTCTACCAGTGGGGATCCCTGCCACAGAGAAAGGCAGGATGGATGTCATTTATTTACTTTATTTATTTATTTTTGAGACAGTCTCACTCTGTAGCTCAGGATAACCTAGAACTCACTTTGTAGCCCAGGCTTGCCTTAAACTCTGAGCAGTTCTCCTGTCTCAGCCTTCTGGGTGCTGGGATTACAGATGTGAGCCACTAAGTCTGCTAGACATTGTCTTAATCCTTTTAAGGATCATGTCTTGGGAGCCACGCCCTGTCTTCTTGGTCTCACTTCCTCAGGAGCGTGTGTCTGAGGAGGCAGAGGCCCAGGTAGGGACAGTCCTGGTGAGGGCCACAAAGCAGGCGAGCTGGACTGGTCTAGGGGTTGTACACTATTTAATTTCTCTTTCCTGTGGGCCGCGTCTCTTTAAGGTCCTCACTTTTCACTACCTCCCACCATCTGTGAGTTCACCTTAGCTCAGAACCCAGGGCATTGGCCAAAGGCAGCTAGGTTTCTGGGGCCTCCTGGGAGGACCCTTTGGAGGGAGATCCAGCCATCTGCCCTTCTCTGTCCCTCCCCTCCCTTCCCCTCCCCTAGACCTGAATTGGCAGGTGGAGCAGCTGAATGCTGAGATCCAGAAGATCCAAGAGGAGGTGAACTTCCTGAGCACCTATATGGATCATGAGTATCCTGTCAGGTCAGTCCAGATTGCCAATCACATGAGCCAGGTGCAGCAGGCGAAGGACTGCCAGCAGGTAAGGTGGCCCCTGGTCCTGCTGCCCTGAACTGTGTGGGAGGTGGGAGTGGTAGTTGAGCCCCTTCTGGCCCCCAGGATGAGCTGGATAGCCTTAACAAGATGTGCCAAGTGGTCCTGGAGTCTTTGTCCAACACAGTTCAGGAGAAGAAGAAAA